AGTTGAAATAGCAACTCTATTATTCTAGTGTTTCCATATTATATTATATTTAAGTTCCATTAAAACAATGAAAGTAGAAAACGATTTCAGTTCCAATGTCAAATAAGGCACTAAATTGCAAATATCATTTAAACATGAAAGCCTGTTTAGATTCCCCTTTAAACTAGAAGTCCTACTAGGAGTATGTCCTTGTTCAACTCCACTTAAATTATGGTAGAACATTGAAAAGCACATCCTAGAAAAGAGACCCCCGTTAGAATCGAAGATCAAATAATCATGCCAAATCAAAACTGTTTAAAACACGCCTATCTAAATTGTCGTTAAGACTAGAAACTCTGCTATCGTTAGAAACAGAAACTCTACTAGAACTATTTCCCTGTTAAATTCCATTAAACATGATCGACAAACACACATAGAAAACATGTCAAAGTCTAATCTTCTTTGAACAGGACACTCTATTTAGATTTGGAAATCCAATAGGATGATTTCCTTATGAATTCAAAACAAAAAAGGGAGACCACCTGTGAGAGAGTTGAAATATACATTCCAATTAAACCGAGCCTTTGAAAGGCGATCCCATGTAATTTGTGGGCTCTGGGGAACGCAACAAAGGGCCCATTTTGAAGAGCATCTGGGAGGCTTCAAGCTCCGCACATGTCCAGACGAATCACTCCGGGCCAAAAAAGGTGACAGTTCAGCGGCTTGGATATATCTACCCTTGTCCATGTCAGTTTACGCGCCATAGCCACCCGCCGGCGCGCAGCGCCCGGGCCGGTGTGCGCGTACCTACCTCGCTTTGAATTTTCAGGGTGGGGGTGGGGTGGGGTCGGGGGGATGGTTACGTTTACTCACAAGCACATCCCCTCTCGACTTTTTTCTAGCAGAGTTGCCCAGATGGTTGCGTTCACTCACACTCGACTTTTTTCTAGGGGAGTTGCCCAGATGGTTACGTTCACTCACAAGGAAAACGGTAAGGTCGTAAGGTAACCTTTGATCATGGTCAAGCCTGAAGCAGCACAACCCCCCCATTTCTGTTACAATTTCCACACTTCCAACGCAGTCCAAGTATGTGGAAATGAATTTCAAACGAGATCCTCTCAAGCATGGTTTCTTTCCAATGGCTTTCAGACAAGATGAGCTTCATTTGTTCCTGGGGCTTCCCAACCAATGTGGGTCTGTCTTTTTTCGCAGGTGGTCTTTTTCTCGGGGAAGAGGACAACCACATTTTTCTGGGGGTTGACTCCCCATTCTGTTCACCCATTAATTGTTCTTTTCAAAAACCAGCCATTTCCCCAGGGTGTTGGTGGTTTTCTAGAAAGAAAGATCCCCTGGAAAGAATGGAACTGGAAGTTACCCCTATGATTTTTGTTGAAGCCCCGAAAGACGCCCGTCATTGTCGCTTCGGGAAAAGCGGCCAGAGGTCTGCCTGGACGCGTTTGCGCAGATGGCCTTTGTGCCCTGTGGGCACTTGGCCAGCTGCGAGGCCCGTTTTGATGGGCCATATGACCATGAGTCTTAGCAGGGAACCACCTCAAGAGTGATTGGTAGACACAAGATGTCCACCTAAATGATGTCCACCAAAGGGTCCCTTATTGAAATTCATACCCATATTTCTCGGTGTTCCGGCATCTCTTCAATCGTGTCTAAGCCGGATCTGCCAAGGTGATGTAAGGGATGCGGTCAACTTCCAGAGAACATGCGTTCGGCATGTTGGCCGGCAAAAGTAAAATGGCTCCATGGCATCGGTGCAGACTGCACAAAATGTGCTTTGGCTTCAACGCGCAGAATTCTGAGCCCGATTCACAAAACAACGCCGGTGTTTGGGTGGGAGGGCAGCAGGGTTGGCTGGCTGGCTGGCTGGCTTGTTGGTTGCTTGGTTGGTTTGTGCGCTGCAACTTCAAGGAGACCTCAGAGACTTTGTGTCAATGATGTGTTGGCCTTACGCGTGCTCACTTGCGAGCGAGAACGAGAATCTGTGACATGAGAAAGGCTTCAATTTCGACTCGAGGCGTGCGCGGGCCACTTGGATGCTTGCCCGGTGTGCCGGCGGCGCTGTGAGTGTCGCGGCTAGGGAGGGGGGCGGCGGAGTTGGTGCCTCCACCCCCACAGGGCGGGCTCTCGCAATAGGAATCAGCCCCCCAAACAAGAGGAAACACCAAGAGTCCACCATTTTGAGAAACGCCCGGTATCTCGCTGCCATTGGTCAGCCGCAACCAGGGCTGGGAAACATGAGCTTCGTGGATGAATCTCGAAACAATGCTTGGGTTGCTAGCAACATTCTCACTTGAACAGCACCTGAAGGTGTTGAACTGATTCTTCGGAAGAACAATAGGGACAATGCACACAGCTTAGAAACTTATATAGAGTCCAGCTTTGACATTGCCTCACACCTTCAACTATCAGACAACTAAGGTAGTTGGCTCCCGAATGCCTCGTTTGGGTTGTGTGTGCCGATGGGAAGCTGGATTGCCCTAGGTCGATGCTTCACATTTACATGCCCTGAGGCGCGGTTTTTTCCGTGCGCGGCGCTGATCGGCCGGCGGATCGCTGGGCAGGGGAGCCCTTATGTTTCCATGTTCGGGTGGTTCAATCATGTCCGTTTGGAGCAGTCGCAATTTATCATTTTATGATGGGGCCAAAGAGGACAGTGACCTTTCTGAGTTGTTAGCCTCGTGCATTCCTTGTTACCTGACAAATCGACAGGTTGAGAGCTACAATCCATGCATTCGAATATATTTTTCTGGAGGAAACGCTTGGGCTGTTGCTTGAATGAGACGTGGGCACCAAATGGTCGACCGACCGGCGACCAAACGAGATCGGCGCAATCGAGCTGATTGAGGGCCACGTTCATGTTTTTTTCCCGGGCGTGTCTTTCCTTTTAAAGGGATCTCCAATTGGTGGTGTTCCTTCTGCTTTTTCTTAAAGCCAAGCTTTGAAAAGGCTGCCCTCAAATGTGAAGGGTGCCTTTATTATGTTCCGGTTTTCGCGGCCACGCTCGTGCGTGCCTTTGTTTGGGGCCTCCGTGTTGAGGCATTTGCCTCAGATGCCACGGATGGGGGTCATGGCAAACTCCCTTAAGAACGGCGTTTTAGCGAAGTTCAACGCTCGGCATTTGACAGTTTGACCGCACGCTTCAGCAGATTCAGCAGCCACTTGGTTTCACCTGATTCTCTTGATGGGTAATTGCCCTTGTTATTCCAGGCTAGCTTGATAGTTGTTACACCGCATTACCCTGTGGCCCAATGAAGTGCTCTCCAAAGCCACACTCCAGCCTGTGCATCATGTCGATGAGGTACTGAGGTACTGGGCACAGTCGACACTTGAGCTCAGCGATGGCACGCAGAACCCAGCCAGGGAATGGGCAAAGTCCAGCGCCAGGAGAGTCTTGCAGGTACCGTTGCCTTACCACGTTTCTCGAGCTTGCCATGGGGAGGGCTTCAGCAAGTGGCGTGTCTTGTCTTGCTGGTGCGATAAGTAGGGAATGAGGGAATGAACCTGGGGATCCCCCAAAAGGAAACCACAAGGGATGGTGTATAGGGGGTCATTCCCTCATCCCCTGCTGAGCAGCAAGTTTTGTTTGAAACAGACCTGTTCGGTTCAACTAAACTACCCGCACAAACACCAAAGAGCGTTGTTCGGCAAACGCCTCAGGCAAGACACCAGGCTACTGTCATCCTTGCCAGTGTTTGTTGTGCAGAAACGGTGCTTTGAGCTCTCCATTTGGGATGCGGGAGATCTGCCCCCCGTTTGCACCGGATTCCCCGAGGCTTGCTGCAATGTCAGCACCTCCCGACTCACCGTAGCCACGCAAGCAAGGGATATATGAGCTACAGTTTCAATGTGTTTGGGCCATTCTTGCTTAGCTTTTTCCTTGAAGGGTCGAACGTGTCGAACATGTCGGCATGTTCGCTTTGACCAACCGAAATGTATGTAACCAGCTTATGGCCTACCAAACACAGAGCTGGCTATGCTTGTGTTTCAAACATCACACAGAGACAGGCCACAAGGGCAGGAAGCCAATGAATGCCTCCAGCACATTCCAAAAGCAACGGATATCGTACAAGTTGGTTTGCTTCAAGCCATCCATCACCCAGTGTTTGTAAGAAACTCGGGAAATTTTCGTAGACAGGAGGCCGAAACACCGTCGCATGCTCGAAGGGTACGTGCAGATATCCCCTGCCTGTGCGCTGTCTTGATGTGCGGATGCACGGATTAAGCAAACATTTGGCGCGATGTGGCGGCCGTCCTCGTTGACCCAGATGTAAAGTTTGGACCAGCTCGATATCGCCGGTTTTCGTCCTCCTTCCTTCTTCTCTTTCTGAGGTGTGACCTTAGTGATTGTTTTGAATTGTTTATGTTGGCTGTTGGCTGGCTCATAGGCTTATTCTGCCCGGCCGCTTTAAGCACGAGATTCCGTCTGCCGATAGATTTGTGCATTCTTGCTGAAGTATCCCCACTGTTGGCATGGTGAGTGATTCACAGGTTCGGTGTGTTAGCTTTTGAAATTGAGGAGGGTGTTTTTCAAAGGCGTTGTTCAAAGGCTTCAAACTTGGAAGCCAGGCGGTTTTGCAGGGTAGGCCAGCGCATGTATTCCGCGGATCGTGATTCCTTTCCATTTGTTCAGCACCCAATCACTTCCACGTGGGTCACTAAGTGATTGCAACTGGACGCCATGTGCCATCGCTCCTGCTAAGTTTGTATAACGATGGACAGCTGTTGGAGTGTGCTGGTTCCCTGTTGATCTTTGCACAAGCTGGATGTATTCCTTTGCGAGGGCCGGGCATCCTTTTGCTCAATCAGAAGCAGAAGACATGTGCACAGTAAACTGAACAGCCCCCGCAGGCCGAAAAGCAGCACTTGCCAGGGTCTTCGATTGGATGATGTCAACCATGCAACGGTCTTTCAGTTTGCACCCGCTTTCAGCACCGTGCACATCCAGGCGACTTGACCAGGAGGCCAGAAAAGCTGTGACGAACCAAGCTGAGGGATCCTGTCTCTAAGCGGTACTTCAGCCATTCACAACACACCATGCCGCAGCTCACATGCCATGGATGAGCTGCTGTTGGAGCTGCCCGAGGGGGAAGTTGAGGACCGCAGAGAGCCTGTACAGCCTCAACCCTCATCAGCTTGGAAGGCAAAACGTGCCCGCAACCTCCTTCCTTTCACGTCAATGGCTTTACTGTCGGCGATTGGTCCTTGCTTCCCAATTTGTTCTGGTTCGCCATGGTTGGTAGCTACCCGTCACGCACATGCTTGGTTTTCAATGCGAGATGTTTTCTTGAAGCTCGAAGAAGTCGAGAGAGTTGATGTTGAAATGATTGCCGCTTTTGCGTTGTTTCACAAAAGAGTCTGTCTCCACGTGGCGCCACCTCCGCCAAAAAAAAGAAAGAAAATAATAGAGAAGTTCAGATGATATCCCAACCAGCCCCGGAACTCTCCTGGAGCCCTTCCTCGCAGAACCCTCCTCAGAATTGCCCCGTGCATTCCCCGGAACCCTCGCGGAATCTTCGCCGAACCCTGCGGAACCTTACCTCAGAGCCGCCCCGGACCACCCCGGAACCTCCGGAACCTTCCTTGAACCTTGCACCTGGCCTGCACCAGACCACCCCGGAACCTCCGGAACCTTCCTTGAACCTTACACCTGGCCTGCACCAGACTCCGGAACCTTCCTTGAACCGCACCTCCGGAACCTTCCTTGAACCTTACACCTGGCCTGCGCCAGACTCTGGAACCTTCCTTGAACCTTACACCTGGCCTGCACCAGACCACCCCGAAACCTCCGGAACCTTCCTTGAACCTTGCACCTGGCCTGCGCCAGCCGGAACCCCTCCTTGAACCTTACACCTGGCCTGCGCCAGACCAGCCCGGAACCTGCCTTGAACCTCACACCTGGCCTGCACCAGACATCCACCTTGCTCAAATTGGGGCACAAAGAAGGTCCCTGTTTCCGTTCGCCCAGTTCGTCGGCATCAAAGAGTGAGGAAACTCATGACACCACCAATCAGTTGATTGCCGGCAAAACAAATCAACACATGCAGTGTTAAGCATTCTAGGTAGCCCCGGTTTCTCCCCCTCAGTTTCGGGGGTTGACGATCGTTTCGATCGCGGACCCTGTCCGAGGACCGCGATCCGCGGCGCGAGGAGCGCCTAAAGCGCGCGGCCAAAGGTCGGCTCAGCGGGCTGCGGGTAGTGCTGGAGGCGAGGCAAGTCAAGCACTCGACTTGCGGATTGCCTTCCCAACTCAGAATATCAGGGCTGTCCTCAGGACTCAGATCCCCTGCCAAAAGTTTGACTTTTGAATGGGTTAAATGGAGCCCCGCACTAAACCCTAAAAGTCTAAAAGTCTAAAAAAGCTAGGCTGGGAACCACCAAGTTATGCAAGAATGAAGGAGTAATTGAAAGTGTCTTGGTCGAAATAAAAAGCATCACCTCTCCTTCAAAGGCTGCAATCAAAAAGTCGGAGGAATGGATCGCCTGCTTCAATCAGTAGAAGTGGTGGTTTACGTCGCAAGATTTTTTATACCAAACCCCCTCCGTTTTGAGACAACCAAGTACACAATGTCATAGGGGACAAACACCTGATATATACATAGTATAAACATATATAGATATATAATTATATATATTGCTATACATATATCTATATGGTTTGAAACGTATCTCACCCTTTCCCATGATTAAATCGCGGGCGTTCTGGGTGGCCACTGAGGTTGATTCCCATAGGAAGCGAGAGAACCAACTATATCCACAGACCGAACGCACTGCCCGCCTGTTATCAGCGGATGGAAAGAAACATAGGTCAAGCTTGCCACCTTGGTTCCAACGCCAAACGCACAGGGCAAGAGCGGTGCGCTTGGAATCGGAGATAGAAAGCAGCGAAGCAGTGGCATCGCCCATGAGTAGTCGTGTGGTACCTTGCTCAATGTACAGGGGAAGCAGTCAGAGCAGTCGATGGGGAGCTTGCTCACCCGCACTCCAACAATCACGGAAGCTGCCAGGAGGATTTTTGAAGACGACTTTCCTTTTGGGGAAGCCCCCTTTTCGCTTCCATGATTGTTGGAAAGTGGGTTAACCAATGTGTGCGGGTCTTCTCCCCTGTTTAAGCACTCAGGGAATTCAAAGTCGGAACTGAGCTGAGGTCTACAGCAAGCTTGGCAGACTTAGAAGGGCTGAGAAGAGGCTTTAGTTTCCAAGTCTGAGCCAGAGGAAAACCCTAGAACAATGCAGGATTATCACCAATGAAGGTGACTCGGTTTTGATGTCAACCATGGTGCCTCAAAACAGTGGGGTGTCGTTTCAAGCCGAGCATGTTTGACACGATTGGCCATTCGTTGCAATTATCAATAGGGGTGCAGCAATATATATATATATATATATATATATGTATGTTTAGTCCAGGGATGACTGGAGCATTTCTTAGTTGCCGGTTTGCTTTTTTCAGCACCTAGTGCGCCTCTTGCTTTCCTGCTTGGTGTTTTTGTTTTTGTTGGTCAAATGGCAACTTGACAGGTAGCAAAATCTCCAATCTCAGCCAATCTACACCTGGCTACTTGCCAGCCTGAGACCGCTGTCAAATACTTATAAAGCCTTTCGCCCAAAGGCACTGGACTCGTTTGACAGCTGTTGCAAGTTGTAAGTTCCTTCTGAAAGAGGTTGCTTTGATCCCTGTTGCCGCTCAACAATCCTTGCTTCTTGGACCCTCTGAGTTTGCGTTTGCGCGTACGCTGACCGGACTCGGCTTGAAAGCACATTGAAGGCTGATGATGTTCCCAGAGCATTGCGTTTGCGGCAAGATGTTCACATCACACGCAGGAGCTGTGCGACCCGGGCAACCGCGCTGCGATCTTGCGGAGCGTGGAGGCCGGGATGCGTGCTGAAATGGAAGTCACATGGCGCTTTCTCGCAAACTGCACTTGGAGAAAAGTGGGTTTCTCTCAAATTAGGAAACTCCCAATCGGGCGGTGTTCCTGTGGTTTTTCCCTGTCGAAGAATGAGCTAGTTTCCTGGACTTCAAATCAAACGACCAGAAACATGCGGAAGAACCATGATGATCTGATTTACAATGACATTGGACATGGGGCAGTCTCAGCTCGAGAGAATTGGACGAACTCATTTGCTAGTTTTCTTGTGTTTGGGCCAGCTTGCTGCCTGGCTCACGCTTGACCCTCTTGCCACTTTGAGATGCCATTGGGTGTTTCGCGTACCAGGATATCGCTCGCATTGCGCGTGTGGATGTCTCGATGAATCGCTTCGTTGTCTGATTCGTCCGAGTGAGCCACGGGCGTTCCGATCCGTTGCTTCGGATGGGGTTTCTGTTCCAACCTCTGCCCATCTCCTTGTCGCCGACTCACTCGGGCTGAAGTCACAGCTATTCGCTGAGAGAAAGTCTGAGTTGATGCTTGAAGGTCTCAATTCTGCTCTGTTGGCCGAGGTCCGGAATCGCTGGATCCATTTTTGCTAATCAACGGAAGCAAGCCGTTCTGGATGGAGCAAATGCAACTTAATGTTTTGGTTCAGGCGATGTTTCATTTCCGACTTCCCTCGGCGTCTTTGGATCGGATGTTGGCGGCCTTTGGCGGGAACGCGTTCCACGTCAACCCGTGCGAACCCCGTTGGGTCGCCAAGATTGACCCACAAATCTCAATTGATGTTTCCTTGCAAGATGTTGGGCTAATCTTACGATGTTCACCTATCTCCAAAGGTCTTGTACTTCACCTTGAAGTCACCTTGCCTTCTTTTTTTTTGGCACTTGAAACCCCGAAAACCAGCTCAAACCAGCTCCATTCAGGAATCTCCATGGGTCTCCCCCTTCTTTGTTCTCCGCGGGGAGCTCCGCAGGCCCTGGGGCTGCTGCACGTCCACGAGGTGGTGGCCACAGCGAGCGCCACGTCTGGGCGCCGCAGGGCGCAGCAGAGCAGCGCCAAGGGCCGCAGCGTCTCGGCCGAAGCGGGGAGGGGAGGAGGTTCCGTGAGTCGGATGGCTTGGTGGGGTATCCTTGGGTTTTATAGAGCCTAGAGCAATTTCCCTGCGTGTTGCATGCGGTAGGGAGGGGGTTTTTGGACCTCTTTGTCCTACGCCCTCTGCAGCATGTTTCTGTTGTTTCCTTTTATAACCACCCCAAAAAGGCAACCCTCAAAGAAAGACACACCCACATGGGCAGACATTCTCTCAAACCTGGAAGCAGCCCAATACTTGCCTCCAGGCATCGTCAATGGTGCTGAAAAGTGGCTGAACGTGCACCAGCACGAGACCGTGCAGGACTATGTGAACCTGACCCGCGATTGCATCGCGTGGTGGAGAAAATAAAGCAAGGCGGAGAAAAAAGGTCAAGGTGGAAGAAAACAGGTGCAGGGTGAAAACAAATGTTGGTTACGCACCCTTTTGAAAGTTGTTGGTCCAATGCACCGGCACGCAGGAGTGCGTGGAGTCGCTGCAGGCAAGTCGCCAAGCCTCAACCCGGGGTTGGTCGGGTTTGTACCTCTCCGGTTGAAATTCGTGAGTTCCGGACCTATTGAAATCGCTAAGCGATCCGACGCCAGGGTGCCCTCCTGAAAGCGCCAAAAACTCATTTGGACCCTCTTTTAGTGCAACTGTGGGGGGGGGTCTGGGTTGGGTTGGGGGATCAATGTTTTCCTCTGGTTGTTTTCCTTGAAAAAAAAGCAACAAAAACAGAAAAGACTCGGGAGGTGAAAGAATATGTCTATAATAGAGGACCGCAAAACAATCTCAGAATCCTGAAATAGAAAAAGCACTTTTGCAGAATAGGAGCTCCATGTATAAACGCGGAGCCTAACGTTGTTAAAGTGGGCCATCGTGTTGAAATACATGGAGTGCCTGACAGGCCCTCTAGGAAAAACACATGTTGTGTAAAGACACATCTCTGAAGTAGGACATGCAAAGCCACCGTACACCGAGAAAGAGGAAACAAAACGCGAGAGCAGATGGTAGCTACAGATGAGCCTTTGACACGATTCTACGAGAGACAATGGTCGACCTGACCAATAAAAAACGCAAGACCATGGCAAGACTTCGGGAAGACCGCAAGAGACTACGCAATGACTACTGGAAGACTACGGGAAGACAGCAAGTCAGGCACATGTACAGCAGAAAACACTGAACGCCGATGAGGAGAAACTGCCCCAATTCTTTTTGGTTCAACCTCATCCCGCTTTGGAGTTGAAGGCTTTGGAGAAGCCGGGGGTGTATTTCTAGTGAGGCCCTTCCTTTCGTGCCGCCCTCCTTTCCAGGGAACCAGAAGGACCATGGAAGCCATCCTGGGGGTCCAACCTTAGCTAGGTCCCCCTCTAGTATCCTTTTCCCAACTTTTTTGGGGGAGGATTCCCCTACTATTGCACTGGTTTTCCCTTGAAAACCGGATGTCCCACTGGTTATCCCTTGAAAACCGGGTGTCCCACTTGTTCTATATGCATGTCTAGTTACGTACATTAGATTTTGGCCAATTTTTCGCCCAAGTTCCACACTCGGGGTCTCGATTTCGGGTCTTGAAGTTAGGAGCCCCAAACATGGCGGTTTCTCCCTGGTGGTTTTTCTCCCCAAAACGGGTTTATGAAGGTGTCAGTTTTTTCTTGGGGAGGGGGGACCCTTTTTTGGTTGTGTCTTAAGGACTTTAGTTATTTTGGGGTCCGATTCCTTGGCCCCTACGCTCGATGTCCAAGCCGTCAGCTCCTGAGGCCTGCGGATTCCGCGTCTTCGCGGCGATGCCGCCGAGTTTCGGCTTCAGCCAAACGAGTCGGAGGCCCAGTCGAAAGTAGCCGAAGGAGTCCCTCAGACGGGTGGCGTTTTTGAGGGTTTGGACCCCAAAGTTCGGGTTTTCTGGTTGGTTTGCCTCTGAAGCCACCGCGCAAGGGGTACCCTCAAGAATGGACATCCCTCAAATGGATGCAGCAGGACATTCGACGGGAGCCACATATCCAACAAAGAAACAGGATTCGCCACTATTTCCTGTAATTGGCTGGTTTCTAAGAGTGGCCAACTGAATGAGGGTACCCATTTTGGGGTCTGGCCCTTTTGAGTTGCCTTTCTGGGACCCCCCCCCAACTTTGGGTTTGTTGTTTGGAGACCAACCCATTGCAAGCATGCAGGTGCACCAGCCATGTCTGCGCACAATGTGGCACCAATCACTGTCAATACCCCACGCTGTCACGCTGTCGGCCCTCTAAAGGGCAAGCTACAACCGAAAGCCACGTGTCTTCCGATTCCTTGGACTTTCACCAACCCCTGGCTGCGGACAAGGACCAAAACTCGCTATGCGGGGGATACTTGGGCTTATGTTGGGTGTCATTGAAGCCTGGAAGCTACCCGAGTCTCAAACTCGGCCCCTCGGGTCTCCTGTTTGATGTTCCATCCCCCAAAAAAGGGGATCCCCTCTTTTTTCCCGACCCCAAAAGCCACCCAAACGCTTGTCTCATCCAAAGAGAAGGGATCCCATTTGGTCCGACCCCAAAAGCCACCCAAACCGTTGCCTCATCCGAAACAAGGGATTCCCATTTCACCCCATCCAATCAACTTGGCCGCTCCCAGTCATCCGGTCCCTTAGCCTCTTAGCCTCTTTTAGCAACTTTTAGTGTTCAGCGTTTGGGTTTCCGGGGGATCTGCGGGGGATCTGCATTGGAATGAATGGACGGGGGATCTGAATGGATCAACCCACGAACAGCTAGAGTCGCATTTTTTTCGCGGGGGGAGCTGCGCCCAAAGCTCCGACCTCCGAGGTCTCCCGTTGGAGTCCTTCAGCTTCGAGTCCCCCACCGCGCTGCTCTTCGGCTCGGAGGCGACGCGCGACGCGTTGGACGGAAGCCCGGGGCGTTTTTTGGTGGAGCTGGGGGGAGCTGCCTTCCGAATTCAAAGCATAGGTGTTCCTAGGTTCGTTTAGAAACAGATGGTTTTTTGGTGGTTTGGGTTGGTCGTGCTTCATTTGAGAGGGAAACTCATTTATTATTCTAGAAGGTCAGCTATGTGTGTAAGCGAGTTGTTGGCTATTTCAAGCCATTTGTTTGAGGGTACCCTTTTTGGGTTGAAGGGAAACGAGGTGGACTGAACATCCAAGTGGATGGAAGATCCCTTACAAGTGGATTGAACTTCCAAGTGGATTGACCACCAAGAGGAAGCCAGTCAATGTACCCATCCCTTGAGGTACCCCCTTGCTGCGGCGGCGCATGTTTGAGTGCCTAAAGTATTCATCATGGCACACCGCCGATTTTTGTTGAAAATTCCAGTTCCCTATTTGGGTGTGTCTTCTTTACGGGTTTTCCTTCAGACTTCCCTCTAAAACCACAAAAACAGAAAATACCACCGTGGCATTCTGGCGATCTAAGCGCGCCATGAGCTCACAGAGCTCGCCGGGAGGCTACCCGGCCAAATCGGGGCCCGTAGCCCCATCGCAAACCTGCGACACCCCCCAAAAAAGGTGTATCTTCTTTACGGGTTTTCCTTTCCCTGTAAAACCACCAAGAACAGGGGGTACCCCCCAAACAAAAAGGACACGCATTTGGAGAACCCGTGTCTCCGGAGGCCCGCGGCGTGTCGGATGCGGCGCTGGGCTGCTGCGACGGCGCCTTCACGGTGCCCTTGGTGGGCCTCTCCGAGAGCGGCTTCGGCAGCGAGCGGCCGGCGGCGGGGATTTTTGTCGGGGGCGGGTGAGAGAGCCGAAAAAGCGGGGCTTTGGTGCATTTTGCCAAGGGAGGTTAGGACTTGAACTGTTAGTGGGAGTTTTGCGGGGCAGGTGAGAGCCGAAAAAGCGGCGTTCCAGTGAAGATCAGTACTTCCTCAGGGGTCCAAGTACCTCATAGGCGGATTTGAGGAATCTATAATTGGCGAATCCCCTTGAACCAAACCCAAAACCTGAAAAGTGGTTGGTGGAGAAAAAACAACACTCAAATGATGTCCACCAAACTTTGGGGCGTTTTGCTTGGAGGGATGTTAGGACTTGAACCACTTTTTGCCAAGGAATGTGGGTTTTCCGTATGAAAACACTAAATGTTATTCACTTTTATCAGGGGAGCAGAAAGCAAGCGAGGGGTGTCGGTGAAGATCAGCAACTTAGGCCCCCAGCTAGGTGCCCTTTCTCACCCTTTCTTTTTTGGTTGGGAGCGTTCCCCTACTAAAACAGACTACAGAAAAAAGTTGGTACCCTTATTCCAACCTCTTTGCTGGAGGACCTGGGTAAGGGAAGCTCTAACCTTGCCCACCAAAGGGTTTGCGGAATTCCGCCTACAAATATGACCTGCTAAACAGGGAGTTTTCTCATCAAGGATAGCCATTCCCAATGCTGAGTAGGCCTTTCAGCAAGCGTGACTTCGGGTTGCCATACACTCAGGGGTAAGAGCCTGACATGCAGATTTGCTTGCCAGGCTTTAATCGTTGGTCTTTGGAACAACCTGAAGATGGGTCCCCCAGTAGTGCCCTTGTACCCTTTTTTGGGGGAGGGTCCCCCTACTTATTCTAACCTCTCTACTGGAGGACCTAGTGAAGAGCACGTTTCTACTTCCCTAACAATGCAACGTGCAATGCTGCAGCGTATTTGTGCCATTTGTGGCAACATGTGGCAAAGGTTTCATGGCGATACCATGCAAGGAAACACCCGTGATACACTCAATATGGCCACGGGCTGGCGGGACAGGGGGGGAATTGGGTTGAGCCACTTTGTGTTCCGAGTGCCTTGAAAAGTAAGCTTGACATGGGCATGGGGCTTTAGTATCTTGGAAAGGGGTAATGTTGACGACTGAACAGATTTGTCCGCTTTGGTCAACGACCCAATGTTTGGTGAGTTGCCCAAACCAAAAAAAAACACGGAACCAACCCCGTTGCCAGAGTTTCCGTTGCAGAGGGGGGAGGGCACACCTGTTGGAATCAATCCACAAAACAGGTGTCCAGGACTTCAGCTGATAAACTTCCTGTTCAATTCCAAGACGAAGTCATGGTATTTCCAGTGCCCACCTTCCTCTTGTCGGAAGTGAGTGTCTAGTGACAGCCTTTCCTTGGCTTCAGGAGGGCGAAACCAGGAAGGCCTTCCTTGGCCCTCCATTTCTGCGCGCGCGACAAACCGCGCCTCGCCTGAGGCCTCAACGTCTCGGTGTGCTGCGGGCTCTGCGCGCACTTCGGCGCCTTGGCCCGGCGCCAGGCGCTGAAGCTGGGCCCTGCGGAGGGCGACCTGGCGGCGCCGGAGGCGAGCGGCGGTTGGTCGGTGTGGTTACTAGGTGCCCGTTGACCGGTGGTTGTGGTTTTGGGGGGAGGGCAAACCCCTACTAAAAGTTGACTATCTACTGGTGTGGGTGTCAAGTTCACTGCACACCAGCTACCCGGAGTCTCCTTCTGACCCTTTAAAAATGGTTGGTCATGACCCACCACCCCCAGCCCCACCCCCCCCCACTCTACCGGAGGACCTGATCTTTCGCCTCCAGGTAGAGGCACTGCTTGAGAGCTACGCACAGCGGTCCCTGGACCACCGCTTCGCCGCACGGCTGAGGGCCACTCGCAGCAGGCCGCCAGCCGGGCGGTGCCAAAGGGGAACCCCCTAAAAACTGGGCCCGTCTTTTTGTGAAAGTACCCCTGGGTTGGGAAACATGTTACAGCTTTGCTTAATTATTGCGGTTCAGTGGTGGAAATCCAACCACTGAACTGCCATTTTTTGCAATTTTTGCTCCCCTTCCAACGTCAACCGAGTCTTTTGGTGTTGAAGGGAATTCAACAGGAATACCATTCCGCCATCTTGACAGGTCCCCTAAGAAACAAGAACCCGAATCATGGTTTCCTAATGAATTCCCGGAAAAGAAAGACACCCCAAGGTATGCCCCAAGAAGAAGCAAACACACACACACACAAGTGGGCGGTGTCCCTTTGGATGTCGTTTTGTCGAGTGGTAAAATTGTTGTTGTCCTTTTGGTTTGCCATTAAAAGCCCAGAAAGGGGTACCCCCCTTCCCCAAAAAAGACAAACCCCTTTGAAGTCCCGGAACAGAAAAATAAATATGAAAAAGGGGGTACCCGAAGAACAACACATTTCACAATTTCTCAGATTTCCCGGCATGCATTTTCTTGCTTTCTGTTTTTGAGGCTGTTCCCAGACAAATGCTGCCGGGCTGCCCCTTGTCCCCGGTGGCAGGGTTTGGGTCCCATCCAGCTATTGGCTTGCAAGTGTAAATCCCCCCTTTCCGCGGGGGGGCGGGGTGATGTTCACAGGGGGAAGAACCCCATGGCTCCTGGGCGCTTCCCCCAGCTGTCCCCAGCGACTCCGCTCGCGCCATCTGTCCGAAGCGCGTTGACCTCCCTTGGCATGAGGCAATCCAAGTTCGCAGGCAGACATCGCGATGCCCAACAAGGCCCACGAAGAGAAAAGCATGGGAGCGAAACACGCGCGTTGCAAGTTCGGAGTACAACACCGCAAGACTTGGAAATAAAACCCGCCGCTCGTAACAACGAGCCGCAGAGCAAGGAGTGGCTGCTGGAGGGAGCAACTGGATGCTGGGGTTTGGTCGCTTATTGTCCTCTAAGGAGGCGAAATACTGCAAAACCAGGTTCGTTGTAGAATGTTATAATCCAGTTTTGGGGTTGTTCACTTGGCAAGGTGACCATAGAGCAATAGGATCTCCGCATCAATGAACCTCTGCTTGATTGCTCGCGGGGAGGGGGGCCAAAAGGGGAGTTTTTATGACTTTTGGAGGGGAATCCCCTCCTACTAGGATGGGGGGTGGCGCAAAAGGAGAAATTTAATAACTTTTGGAGGGGAATCCAACTCCTAATACTAGGATGGGCGTACTGTTCCGGGGCCAACATTACTCCGTTTGGGGCCCGAGTTTTGCCCTGCCTGGCTCGCACCGCCACGCTCGAATCCTTCTCGCCAGGGAAGTGAACGAGGCCAATGCGCTGAGCCGAGGAGTGGCAAAAAGCTGGCCGGCGATTCGGGAGGCTCTTTGTCACGTGTTGATTTTGTGGGGAGTACGTACTTGTTGTCTGTCTACATGGACATATTATGCATATCTATATCATGTAGGTGCATGATGTACAGAGAGAATGGCCGAGTTTCAATGGCACCCCTATGCGATTCCATTGGCAGGACATCCAGCCTTACACCATGATGGGCGAAAGACATGTGCCAGGCGCATATAACCCCCCCCCCCCATGAATGCTGCTTGTCGTGAGGCATGACGATCTCCATTAAGCTGTTGGCATGCAGAATTCCAGGAGCAACTGGACATGAGTTTCCCTAGTTGATCTACGATGTGGGTTTGTTGGTTTTGAGGGTGTTTGATGGACTTCAATGTCGATGCCGCTAGCGTTTATGCGGCTCCCTGATCAGGATTGTAGTCGCTGTTTGTGCTTCGATTCTAGCCTCGCATTGTCACATTGGTCCATGTAGCACCAGCCCACTTGCCGAACAGCAGTTCACCAGACAATTCGCGGATCTACACGGGTTTGTACGCACGATGTTAAACAGTTTGCAGGCCAAGTATCCTTTTGTAGGTTCTGCGATGTCCATAAGAGCATTGTTGCATGGTGAAAGGTGGCGGGAGGTCTGATCCTTGTTCAAGGTCTGGGTTTAAGGTCCGGGATAGTCCCAGATCGTCAGTGGACTTTTATGGAACAAAATGGCACCCATTTTCTATTTGATTTTTATGGTGCCCACCCCCAAAACAGTTGGAGAAATGAAAAGCAACCCACTGGTAGTCGCATGTTCTGGCGGAAGCGGTGTAGGTCCCATGCTCTCTCTCTCTCTCTCTCTCTCTCTCTCTCTCTCTCTTTCACAGCCTGTGCCATTCCGCGCTTGGCTCAGCAAACCGGCGCGAGAGGGTCGGGCTTGCAAGCCCAGAATAGGATCCTCAGAGGCGCGCAGCCGAGCCATTGCCCAAGGCTGATTTTCTTTCTGGGTATGTCCTTATTTTTAAGGGGACCTCCGAACATGGGTTGGTTTTGTTGCTTTTAACAGGAGTGCTTGACTTTGCATTTGAAATGACTTTCTAGAGATGGAGTATTGTCAAAATTGTAAAGCTTGGCCACCAGAGTAGACGACCTGTTGTTTATACCGTGGAATCGAGATAGCAAGAATGCTATGCCTGACCATGATCAGCTGGTTCTAAGTCTTGCCACAAAGGCTGAAGGGTTGCAATCATGCCATGAATGGCTTGTACAAGGGGAAACTGCGTATGTCAAATGATGAATTCCCTGATGGGCAAAACCATTGGCACTAACAAGTGTCCAGGACCCGACTCAGGCAGCCTGTTGCAGATGTCTTTCGAAGCTGTCCAGAGCCTAGGGTCCTAGGGTGCTTTGCGATTGAGTTCGCCCACTACCTGGGCATAAGTGAAAATGCAGAAATCAGCAACAACGACGGTTGTTTTTGATGCAAAGGGCTTGACTGACATACATCCCCCCCTATCAGGTTGAACATGTGCATTCGCTCAACATGTGCTCATGTTTTGTTAGATGTCACTCTCATGACATCTCTTGAAAGGCCGTCGAGCTCCGATCCAGCCGTGTCAAACTCATTGCCGTGCTAGCTTTGGCATGGGTTGCCTCGCGTCTCTATGACCGGGACCAGCTCTTGCACGGGGCAGTTTGATGGTGTGATCTCCGTGAAGTCTGTTTTGGAGCTTTCTCTGTGGGCTTTTGTCAAAACAGCGATTTGGTCCTCAAAATGGATCTTGCTTGGTTTCCCTCATGGTTTCCGAACAAACCCGCAGCCAAGAGGTTAAAACAAAATAATTAAAATAAATAGATAAATAAAATAAACATAAAACACAAAAAGTGGTTTTGGTCTGTGAAAAAGACCTTTAAGCGCCCTAGGCCGGTATTTTCGCGCCTGATTGGGCCAGGTCAGCTGAACCCCGCCGGCCATGCATACACGAGCCAGCCCGGCGAGATCTTGACGAGGTCCCCCAGAAATTGGTGCACTAAAACTTTTACCGGGTCGTTTTTGGGTGTGGAGGGTTCAAGGGTTCCCCTGAAATAGACCAAACCGGAAAAAAAAGAAGAAGAAGTTGGTAGCCTTGTTCTAACCTCTCTACTGGAGGACCTAGTTGACATTTTCGGAAGTCGATGAGATGATCGGATGAAGGTGCAGGGCGGTGTGAGCTGAAGACCTCCACGGGTGCGTCTCTCTTAGAGGGTACCCGTTTTTCGGTGGTTTTAAAGCAAATCAAAAGAAACACCGACTCTGCAATGAACCACAAGGTACCGAAGAACATGGAGACATGAGCTTTATGGCCAGATGCCTGGGTCGGGGATTGCTTCTCCCCGCCCATGGCCCAACTCACATGGCTTAAGGAATCAGCCGGCCATCTAAAGCTTCGAAGCTTGTGGCAATTGAAGAACCCCAGGTCGGAACGCGGGGTGTGCCAGTGAGTGCCAGATTGCACACCAGGGTGGTGATTTCTATGATTTCTGTCATGGAGCATGTGCTTGTAAGTCTGGGCATGGGCATTGCAACCACCTGTTGAACGTTGGGAATCGGCCAGAATACTCATGGACCCCGACCCCCCAGGCCGGCTGCCCTGCCAAGAAAGTAGTGAAGGCCTGAGAAAAGTTGCCAGGTGCGATGCTTTCCTTTCAGATTGCTTGAGCTTGAGGCAAAGTGATTTCTCACCCGCTCGCACCGGGTGCCTAAGTACTACGAGTTCGCACAACTCCTTCTGGGGGTTGTTTGTTTTTGAACGGCCATCCAGAGGAGAAAACATGGGATATCACTTCGATGGACGCCCCCTCGCCAGACGCGGCCCTTGAATGCACCTCCAAGCCCAAATCGCTCCGGGGCGCTCGCCTCAGGTGTGCTTTTGCATTGGGTTTTCCCCGGTCGTTTGACATGTGCGCAGGGTGGAGGTGTCCACTTCATTGCTTTCATGTCGCTGCCCTCTGAAAACCCTGCCCAAAAGGCACTCACAGCCTCAGCCACATGAGGTTTGTTTCGCATTTCCAGCAGTCTATGGTCCATTTGGGAGGGACATAGGGGGCTCGTCAATTTGTTCACAACCCGCTCGGCATAGTTTGACCGCGACTTGCCATGTTTCTGTGGTTCCTTTGAGCTTGTGGTTGGTTGTGTCGGTGGGTGGACACGTGCCGCTCGATTTTTTGGAGATCGTGGTGGCCGCAGTTGCTTGTGTTGGGTGGATGGGTGTGCGCAAATGTTGTATGGGCGACTTTGGATCACTAGAGGACCTTTGTTGTTAGGAGGAACACACCATATTCCTGACCATGTCAGTTGGCACCGATGCATGATTACAATGGTGTTTCACTGGCTCACATCCAAAGGCGACAAACACGGCCTCAAGTCTTAAAGATGTTGCCCATGCGACTTGGGTCAAGGGCCTTCTCTGTAGCTGTGGGCTTCGAGGCTGGCCGCTTCAGCCTCAATCGGCTGGATTTCCGAAGTTGGGGTAGGACCTTGGCATTTTCTCCGACTTGATGGAGTGCTTTCCACTTTTGGCCCATGGGTGTCTTTTCGGTTTCTTGGTGGCAAGCCCAGCCATCCGGTCCCTCAGCTTTTTTGGCCTTGCGGTGTTTAGTGGTTGGATTTCCATTCAACCCACGAGAAGTGGGTCGCTTTTTGCGGGGCAGTAAAGGTTTGTGTGGGGTCCATTTGCCTGTGACCCCCTTCCCGCCACAAACCGCGCGGCTCCCAGCGCGAGAGGTTGGCACCCGTCCGGGACGGACCGTGGGCAGCCCTGGCAGCCCTAGCAGCGGGGGCCCCGGTGGCTGAGGTATGTCAGCTACCCTCAGTTTGGCTTGGGGGATTGGGAACCAGGGCCGATCCAAGTCCTGGGAAGCTGAATGAGAAGCCAACCGTCCTGATTTTGACCCGGTTTTTAGGCTAAAAAAAAGAAAGAAAACAAGTCAAGAGCTGGGGTTGATGTCACCCATCGAGGGGGTGTCGTTGAGGGTAGCAAAGTGCCAGCAGGAGGAAGCCCATGCCATTTTTGGGCTGACGAGTGTTTGCGCGTGGAACTTTGGTTCGACACGGCGCGTGCGCACTGTAATCAGACTGGAAGGCTATGGGTAGTTGCATGGGTATGCATCAATACTGTTTTGCAAGGGATCCTTTGAATCGCTGCTAGATGTGAACCCGTTCCCTTCGCCAGTGAGAGAGTCTGTCCCAATTGCCAGTCAAGTGGACTGCGCTCATTGCGAGTTTGGACGTTGGCTAGATTCGCCTCAAAAGCTATCCCGGGAAATCGATTGAACCCATGACGATTCTTTGCTATGGATTGGAATGGTCCTTTCGGACAGAGCAAAACGCGCTTTCATGGTTGTTGTTGGGAAACATTTTGCATTTTTCTTATTGTGGTTTAGTGGGAAATCCCCGCTTAACTGCTAAAATTCTCCCCGTCCAACGTCAAACAAGCTTTGTTGGTCTGGTGTTTGTCCCTGGGCCCCTCATTCCCTTCTCGGGATGAAAGGAACTGAGCGCCAAAGCGCTTCCACATGGAGATGGACGTGTTTCTTCTATACGGGCGCGTCTTTCTTGCGCGTTGGTGCTCGTGCCCGTTTTACAGGGATACACCATCATTTTGGGTGGTCATGCCCATACTGGGTCACCAATGGGATGGCCACGGCAATGCCTGCCATAAAATCGGGCGCAAACCATGGCTGCCAGGTCCTAATTCGAAGCGCCAGGCCTGCCTGTGGGAGGGATGAATCTTGCTGCCATGCCAATAGATAGCATCTACACCCAGATGGGCAATACATAGATCATTGGTGCATGTTGCCAGATGCTTTCAGCAGGGGATCAGAAAGCAACCGAGAGATAGCATCTACACCCGTTTGATCTTTCTTCGGCTGATGTCTTTCACTAGGCGTTATTTGTTGGCGGCCTTGCGCATCAGTCATTGGTGACAGAGTCGATGCGGTCTCGTGTTTCTTCGGATGTGGCTTGGCGGATGCCTAAGCTGACAACGCCGAAAAGGACGGCCTTTACAGAGCGGTCGGTCTTCCCTCGGTCTTGATCCCTCTTGTTTTGATAAGTCACACAACGCATCTTCTGCGCCAGAGTTCGTGCTCCGCCCAAGGATGGCTGAGTGTCGCGTGAAAGATGTGTAAATTACCCTGAGTGAAATGTCCTGCCGGGTTTTCAAAGCGCCCAGGTTTTCTTGCTGGTGCTCAGCTGGGAATGAGGAAATGACCCCTATAAACCATCCCATGTGATTTCAGGGAATCCCTGGGTTCATTCCCACATTCCCTACTGAGCATCAGCAGGATGAGGAGAGAACAGACAAGACACGCCCCGAACCAGGACCTTTGCCAAATTTTGAACCAGAGACACGCGCAGGATTTCAGCGCTGACACTCTCTCGGAGACGCGCGCTTTCAGCTCGGTTTTTCTTTGGGACAGATAATTCGAAACTGAAAGGCTTCAGGATCAGCATCCAAGCCGCATAGCAAGCTTTTGTCTTTAAATGGTCCATGTACCCATAAATATGCTACCCTCGGCCCAAGACCTTTCAGATCTTTGGGGGTAGGGCTTCATATGTCGGGTCAGAAACAAAACCAGGGATACGTCTTTTTCACATTGCGGTTAAAATGTAAGCATCGTGTGTGTTCGTGCAGCCTTCACAGCCTGTTTCAATGAGCCAGCTGGATGGGAGCCGCCAGGATCCCATTTCCCGGCGTACCGGCCGGGACCCCGGGTCTGATCTGGAGACTCGACGGAGTTTGTGTAGGTTGACTCCCAAAAGTTGGCAGTTGTCCCTTTGGTCTCCGGCAAAAGGCGAAAAAGGGTACAGGTAGCCTCAAAAACAGCACACCGCATGTTTTTTTTTGCCTCCTTGCATCTGACAAGGTCGAAGGCTTTTTCAGAAACATCAAGGATGGCCATCACCACCCCTGCTAGGAGTTTCGACAAGGGGGGTTCAGGCCAACCCAAACACAATGTGCCCATCCCTTTTGTTTTCCGGTATTTGTCCCCGGATTCTTGTGAGACAAACAGATCTCACAACAAGGTTGTCGAAACACAACATTTCGTTTGCTAGAGCTTCAGTGTTGCAAAGAGCACAGCACTAGGTCACTAGGTTCGCAGGCACGTTGTGAATGAGTGAACTCAATTCAACTCGCAGCCCAGAAGTGTTTTAAGCACATACAGTCAGGAATATGAAAGAACCCCGCCCAAGACTGTATCTAAGCAATGCTAAAACAACGCAACATACTAAGACACTGTTTGCCTGCCCCAATCCCATCTTAAACCAAATGTACAAGCAGGTGACCAATCACGCCAACAGTAAATTCGAAATATAAATTGGAAACGGCTCGAAGGGGCACCAACTCTGAGCTCTGGTGCGATTCAAGGTTCGTACTTGACCTTCCTGGGGGGTTTCCCTTTTCTTTCTGGAATTGGGGGCATTTGCGTCATGTCCCGTTGCCGAAAGAAGCATCTAAGAGCGGATCATGGAGGGAGATTTAGCCGTTTTGCTGCTTCATCCGTGGCATAACATCACGTGGTGGGTTTGAAGGTACCCTTTGCACTGCGGTTTGCAGGGAGAGCAACAGGAAAGTGGTCTTGGGACTTGAAACCCGAAATTGATGCACACCACGAGCGCCGAAAAAAAGCCGGTGAACGTGTCATACGCAGGAAAACACACTGTTTTTTGTGTGTGTTTCAATATGTGCAAGTTCGAGCATTTCTTCGATCCATAATTTTATTTCAACAGACAATGTATGCTTGCACTTAGACGGCTATTTAAGGGTTTCTTGAAAAGACAAACATGCTTTTCCAGAAAACACATGGTTTCTAGCAAAACACGGTGTTTTTGCAAAGGTACGACAACCCTTACCCCCTCCTAAAGGCTGAAACGCAAGGACTAATTACTGCAAAGCAGTGCTGCAGGACAGACGATTTGACGAGGGAAGAGTGGGCAATTGCTCATTTCTAGCTGTGAGTGTGGATGAGTCTCCATTGCTCGCTCGCCTCCCAAAGCAGCATGAAGCAATCCTTTTGCGGCTGTGAGGCCCGTCGATGTCCCGCGTGAGCTCCAACGGTGATGTTGCAAAGGACAGGCTCTTTAGGGCAAGGGTTTGTCAGGTTACACGCACCACGGGACTGTAGAAATCGTCAGATACTCGTAGGGGCATGCTAGATGCTTCTTGGGGTACCTTCCATTTCCATTCTGTCCAGGGATCCGGATCTTTTCAGGAAACCATCAAGAACCCAGGTGAAACCGCCGGTTTCTGAAAAGAGCGATGATTGAAAAGAATGGACCGCTAGGAATCAACCCCTAGAATGTTGCCGCCAGCCAGTTTGAGCTGTTTTTTATACTTGCCCAAGCAAACTTGGGATCCAACGATTGCTTCAAGTTGCCCAGAAAAAGCGAAGCATACCCTCCAGGCCAGGAATACCCACGCCGAGTCGGCACCAACCTGACAAGTCACTGGGCAGACCTTCCCTTGGGCCAGCCCACCCCACCACACCCCTCCCATCCCCACCCCACCCCACCCCTCCCCTCCCCATTCCAGCCCAGCCCAGCTCTGCAAACTTCCGCACCGCCGTTTCCGGCAGGAAGAGCGCACGTCGCCTGGGTCCCCGAGCCCGGCACCGCCGGACACCGAGAAGATGGCGGGGCAGCCCGGAGACTTTGAGTTCGACCCATGGAGTCCGAAGCCCAAATTCTAGTTCTACGTGTCCAGTTCCCTTGAAAACCAACTCCCTTCCTGAGTTCCTGGACGATAAGCTTTTGGGGAGGACGATTCTGGTGGTAAACAGGGAGTTTCAACTCTTTTTGGCCAATCCACTCAGGAAGTGAGGAAAACGAACATGGAAACGACTTTTTTGGGACGAATTACTTCGGAAGCCTAAACTGAAGAATGAATAAAACAAGATCTGCAAGGAAGTGCCGCTTGAAGTTGTCGCATAGCGCGAAGCTGTTTACAAAAAGCATTTGGGTACCTCGGGCTTTCCAGAGCCCCTGGTTCTTGATGCGGCGCGGATCAAAAGCAAGTGGCAAGTTGCCCAGCTCCCGACTGATGTTTTTGTGACAGAGCGATGTGCCATAGCCAGGTGAACCAACTTACTGGTCCCAAATGGCCAATCAATGAGTCACTAGCCACGAGTCAATGGCTTCACCTGCGACTGGTAACTGGTTTTTCCTTCTGGACCTTTGGACTTGGGGATGACTGTGTACCATATTTTCAGGAGGTGGTTCCAAATCTCAAGACTCGGTTCGCCACATGGGCGTGTCGTTGTTCAAAGATACCTGT